GTCCACTTCCCGGGTTAATACACTTTATCCTAATAGATATATTTATAGAGCTGTTCAAAGGATTCTAGCTGCAACACATGTTCGCATCGGATAAATGGGATTAACACTTTATATACCCCCAACATGTCCTTGCTACACGGAGAGAGTATATTTAAATGCTTATTGTTGGAACAATATATAGTATATTAAAATTTCGATAATAACTTAGAAGTTCAAATTAATTATAAATTAATGATGTGTAATTAGAAGAAATCATAATTCTGTTATTTATAAATGATATGCACATAGTAAGGTCAATCAATATTATATTCGAGTAAGCATCTTAGGAGACGCTATCTACCTCTGTGTACAGGCAAATGCAGCTACAACTTGTAACGTATTTCAGAGTGTTCGTCACCTTTCATAAAGCAGTCGTCTCCGGACCGCGAGTGGTCAGCGCGTGAAGCTGCGCGCGAGTCTGCCGGCAGCCAGGCCGCGCGCATCTACAACAACCCCGCCTACGTGCGTCGCGCGCCCCTCCCCAACGGGTAACTACTACTTCTAACATATTCACTAAAACATTCACTACCTAACTATAAAAAAAAACTGACTGACGTAGTTAACAAGTGATGATTGTACCATTTAGTCACACGATTGCCCGTAAGTTACGCTTGCAAGGTAAACTGTCATTGCAAAACCAAACGTGTGTTTTGCGTAATACACGACTCATTGTTCTATCCATTGTTGTTTAGTTACGAGAATGGCGGCGAGGGGGCGAAGGGTCCCGCGGAGGCCGACCTCGACGAGGACACGATGGAGAGCACCTGGACACCGGTGCAGCCCTCGCCCGCCGCACACACCAACGACAAGTTTGTACTTTTTGCTATAAAATTTATATGCTGTAAACAACTGTTTGTTTATTTAAAAACACACGATGACTGCCGACAACAAAAACGAATTCGAATAAAAGAATCGTTGATTATTTTTTTTTTATGTCAGAAGACAGTTTTTAAAATATTTATATTTGTGTACAGCAGCAGTTCATCGTCGGGCGGCGTGGTGGGGCTAGGGGCGGGGCCTGGCGTGTCAGGAGGCGGGGGCGGGGGCGTGGCGAGCAGCAGCGCGGGCGGGGCCGACCTGCCCGCGCTGCTCGCCGCCGCCAAGGGCACTACGCTCATCCGCACGCCATACCCCGACACCGCGCTGCAGCCCTACGTCAGACAGGTACCGATTATTAGTAAAGAGTACTACTAATTATTATCTTAAATCTATAACTACCACATCAAATATCATATACTACTACTTACTATATTTCAGGATCCTAACAATAACGGTAACCGCGGCAACGGGGAGTCATCGTTCGAGGGAGGCAGCGGTGGCGCGCAGCACGGCTCCTCTTTCATCATCAACGTGGTGCAGACCATCAGCGCCGTGCAGCAGCGCGGAGACGGCGCTCACTGACCTTGACCGAGGCGTCGCGGCACTCTCACGATATCGTCACGCTCACGTCGCGCTAGCGTTACGTTGACGTCGCGCAAAGACTATCCGACGTTCTGCTAACGTAATAGCCTCGCTCAGCAATACAGTACTTGCTCAATTTTTACTTGTAACGAGATTTTCTTTAGCGTACAATGTGGCAGCGATTTTAGCTATTTGGTGTTATGCTTTAGTTTATTTCCTCGTCCGCTGTTTGATGAGGATTAAAGGATTAAGAGTTTTATGCAATCGAGAGATAGGTTTAGACAATTTGCTTTGAATAATAAAAGAAATAATCTTTGTTCTATTTTCATTCAGAAAATTAAAGTCGCGATTTGCTAAGCTGATTCTGTTTACATTTTTATATAATGTTACTACTTTTTACAGTTTTCATTATAAATTATTTCGCATACGTTTGATTTTTTCCAATAAAAAGAAAAATCACTTAATTAAGTCTAAAAAAATATCTTACGAGAATTCTGTTGAAGATCTGAAATTAGAACAAATTAGTTTGTATAATATTGAGATAGAGTGAAGAAAAAGTCATAATCTAATTAACTTGTGTTAGGATATTGTCAGTCCTAGGATCGAATTTTAGGTTGATTTAGATTCTTCTTGTACATTTTAGGGTAATTATATTTTATTTTTTAAGGTCGCTTTTACATGGTCGTTACATTGTCATGTAAGAGGACTAATTAAAGAGGAGTCATTTTCTTACAATTTGTAAATATGGTGTAAAGCAAAAATTTTTTGCTTATAATAATTAAAAAAATATCGCGCTGTATTTGCCTATCTTTGTGATAGATATTTAGAGGAGTGCCGAGATATTTTCGCAAATATTTTTGTCTCCCTCGCACAGCGATACGCACAATTTCTATGTGACAAGAACAAAGTAATTATTTTGTGTAGAAAAGATATTAAATTTTAGATTATTGAAATCACAAAAGTCCGCCATGAAATAAGGAATTGATAAAATTAGGATATTTGAGTTTGATTTTGTAGATTTGGATTGTATCTTTATTTCAGATAAAACTTTATATTGTGCATTTGATTGTCTCTGGTCGTTAGATTTACCGCCTAAACTTAAATATTTTTTAAAATAATGGAATCGATTTTTATGGTTGCATTTAAATAAAAAGTTAGTTTTAGATTTTTTTTACTTGACCAACAAATTTTGCTTTTAATTTGGAATTTATAAACTTTAAAAAATTGCATTTGGTTTGTAATAACATTTTATTTTTTTAATAGGGTAACCCACTGGGTTACGGGTCTGGGTTGCCCTAATATGCCACATAAATTATAAATACGGATGTAATTTAAATTTATAAAAGATAAAAATGTTATATGTTTACATAAAAAATGTCAAGATAAACTTTAACAATTTAGTATAGCCAATAAAGCTAGTGTCGGAGATATCTATTTCTAAGACCTAATAGTAACGAAAAAAAAACTAAAAAAGCAAAAAAATATAAAAAATTATTTATTATACTCAGACTCCTTTTTTACACCAATTTTTCATATTTAATGAAGTATTTTAATAAAACGAAAGTGATCAAGTATTTTAAACAGTTAAAAAAACATGAAAAAACGCATCGATTCTGCAATTATTTTATAACGAGAACAAGCTTTTTTAATTTCCTTAACTGGTGTCTTTTCTTCTAATTAAAAAATTGTAATTGTAGATTGTTAAATAAATGATTGGACAAACTTAATTGTGTGATGTTATTGCACAATTGTAATAATGAATCTGTAGTCTACAGTTCTTTAATGATATGTTTTCGGTGTTATAAAAAAATAAACATTAAATCAAAAATGAAATATCAAAAATGTAAATTTAATTAGCAAACATGTTATATTTATTTTAGAAATCCGTAAGTTAAATAATTTGCTCTAATTTTCACGTACAATAAAATTATAATCTGTGACATAGTTTCGAGTGTTGCCAGTGTGCAACATCTTACTGTTCATTAGATAGTTTAATATGTGGATACGAACTTCCTTATATGTTCATTTATATCTAGGTATTACGTTTTTAGCTATAAAGGCTATTTACTGTCAAATTTATTGTTAACATGTTGTGCCTCTAGGTAAGTACTTAATTGTAGTTTTTAAAACTATTATAAAGTTAGATGTAGAATTTAGACGAATATGAATTATAATATGTATGTGTGATACAATGTCCTATTGATTTATTTGAATAATGTTGTTTTTCTGTCTCACTGTATTTAATATTGTTCAAGTTTGTATAACACTTACTATTGATGTTGCCATTTTAGTTTTAATTATTTGTATAAGTTATTGCTTCCGAGTATAATTTACTCTGTGAAATTCTTTTCATTGATTTAATTTTTACTTGGAAGTGATGTTAGGTGCATATATTTACATTGTTTCTTTTTAAGTCACTAATATTATCCTACCAAAACTCGAAGTCAAACAACTAGGAGCATGGAAGCGCTGGCGTCCGTTCGATTTAATTTAGTAGGATAATATTGTTAGATGATTCTTTAGGTTAAAGCAAAGATTTACATCTCCAGATGTTTAGTTCGTGGCCCAAAAGTGATGCCAAATGTGTAAATTCCCGCAATTAGCAACATAAATAAACAATAATAAAAAGTTTGTAATCTTTAAGATTTGTGCTGTCAAAATTACCTCAAATTTTACCTTCCAAAGTTGGCTTTATTGTACGTCGAATTTGATAGAAACACTATCTGGAAGTTATTAATCTTTGCATTATACATAGTCAATTAAAAACCCCGATACACTATTTTTTAAGGATTGTTTAAATTAAAATATCACTGCCACGCGATAAATAAATACGTTTGATTTATATTACTTTTGGAATATGTGCTGTCTTTCTCATTTTTTTCAATATTTGTGTTTGGTTTTATTCAATTGATGATTCTATTTTAGGAGTTCAAATGTTATGTGAACAAATTTTTCTAATTTATAAATTGTATTGAAGTAAAGAAAATTGAACGATCTTTTTTTTATATAACATATAAAGTAAAATATAAAAATTAACACGTTAATTATTTCTACAACAAAGTTGTCAGGAGACAGAACAAAACTATAATAAAACTGCCTATGTTACATTCGAGTGTCGTTTTGACACAAAAATAACGATTACGTGCATTTAAAAAAAAACCTATGCATTTTGAGTTATTTGTATAATTCGTAGATGTTTGTATTTAGTGTAATTGAGATGAACAAGGATGTTGTATTAGCTAAGTGTATTAGTGCAAATCAAGTGCCTTATTGCAGCTGCCCTGTGATAGTGCCCTAGAAATATTTAAATATAAAATTGTTTGACTAACTAATGCAACAAATATGGAAGATAACTTCCTGATTCATATCTTAAATGTATATCTCAAAGATTTTTTATGAGAATTAAATAATTGTTGGAAATGACGAGTTTTTTTTATTTATTTCCTGATCTTTTAAGATAGATGAATTTAAATCTCATCATTTAAAGGAATATTTAAAGGTATCACATGGAAATAAAATAAGCATAAGACAACATAGTAGTTATAACATATTTATTCGTGCCCTAAAGATAATATGTTCGCAAACGAAGGAAAACGTGTGAAATAAATCTAATCGAGGGGTGCGATGAAGAGTGCGACTGCGTTTAGCACAGCGGCGTCGCTTTCGTAGTCAGCGGCGAGCGGCGCGCGCACCTGCCACAGTAGAGAGTCGCGCGCCGCGCTGCTGTACACCGGCACCTCCACGCTGCCCCGCGGCCCCGCCCCCGTCCCCATCTCAGAGCTCTGCAATGCAATCAAACATATTTTAAATTGTTAGTTATCTTTATGTGAAAACTTATGGTATCAGTACGCACGGGCACGTAGCGCAGCAGTAGGGGTGGGGCGGGGCAGTGGGCGGGCGCGCGCGCAGTCGCCGCACACAGCGCGCCGCGCCACTCGCACCCGCTCAGCCGCAGACCCTTAACAACGAGATACGGGATCTCGTCGCTTTCACTCTCTGTAACACAACATCCGAATGGGTAAATTAATTGACTCGTCATGAATTTTACTATTATACGGTGATAAGAAACTCACTAGTGCAGTCCCAGTGCGCGGTGAGTGTCAATTGATACAGCGGGCGCGCGAGACGGGCCGCCGTATGCGCGCGCAGAGCACACAGCAAGCACTCAGGACGCATCAACGTTCGCAGGTCTATCTCTGTAACCGGTGTAGAACAAACAAAATGTTTAAAACACTGATATAATTAACTAAGGTTTTCTTATATTTAATTGCATACCTGTTGGCAAATAGTCCGAGGTGTGCTCCTGTATACGTTGGTATGCGGCGCGCGCACGGACGCTCAGCTCGCGCAGATAGGCGGCGGGCTCAGTCGGCCCCGCCCACTGCAGCTGCCATTCCTCCGGCACCTTACATTTTATGTAACTCTAAATTGTTGTTTAACAAAATGTCCCCCTTTGAAACCATTTTCGGTAAGTAAAAGAGAGGTTTACGTAGGAACGTGTATGTGATTGTTACGTAAGCTAACCGTAAGCAGCGCGTTCGTTTGAGCATGTGTTGGCGAGCGCGCGTGTGCAGCGAGAGCGACGTGCACGCGGCGCACGGCGGCCGCGGCCTCGCGCGCCTCGCCTCCACACACGCAGCCCCACCACCCTGACCCCTCCTGCAGCAGTTGCTAAATTAAACTCTACTCAACTTCCTTTGTATTTGAATTTCACAATAATGTTAGTGTTGTTGTATATTTTTATATGAAACATTAGAGCACCTTGTCAGGCTGGTAGTCGGGTCTGAGGAGCGGGCAGCCCGACATCAGCTTCTTCCACAGCGCCAGCAGCGACCTTAGCGGTGTCACGTTGTTATTGGTTTTGACGTTCATTGTACTCGTGAATTCTGACCAACACAATGAGAGTAATTAGTTAGATCAGTGAATCAGTTTGAATAGATCGTTGTAGATTTACCTTTTTTTGATCAGAAAACTATAAAACGAGATGTTACCTTTGAGTCCACTAATGATATCATTAGCGGCGCTGTTCTCCCAGGCGACGCGGCAGTTGGCCGGCAGGCCCAGCAGCTGTGGCGGGTCGGAGTTAGGCCAAGCCTCCAGCGCAGGGATATACGCCTGGTGACATTTCATCATGTACTAACAAAATTACACGATACTTTGTCGAAAACTTGTCATAGTGTAGTAATCCAGCAAGTATTCGTACTTGTAGGTGCTTGGTGTAGGGCAGCGGGTTGTGCACCGCGGGCGGGGACCATTGATGCGCCAGCGCGCGCTCGGCCAGGCAGACGCGCAGCAGCGCCGCCAGCACGCGCACGTCCGCCGGCTGCGTGACGCGCGCGCCGTACAGCGCCCCGCACAGCGCGCCGCACACCTGCAGCGCGCGTCTCTCCTCCACCGCACGCGCCCCCAGCGCGCACGCCTGCACCTCGCCCCACTCCCACGCGTACCACTGACTCCATCCTGCATACGGAAAATCAGTGATCATTAAAACTTTATTGCTGGAAACTTTGCTCAAAACTTACAAGAACGAAACGGGCAAAACGACATCGGTGTTTAATTAATAGCCATGCTAACCAAATGGGGGCAACAAATAAAGCGAATGAAAAACAGAACAAATGTATTATCAACCGTGCGGTATGTAAGCGCGTCGCTCCTGCGCCAGCGCGTGCAGCAGCGCGAGGCAGGCGTGCAGACGCACCAGCGCACTCGTCGCCGTGTACGGGCCCCACGCGCTCAGCGTGCCCAGCATGTTGTGCTTCACGCCCTCCGGCGGCTGGACGACAACACAAGTACAAGATGTTATATAAATTAATAATTATTTATCGTTGTTATGTTATGTCAATGTCGCATGCTTACTTCTAGAATAACTGTAACGCAGAGGGAGGATATGTACGATGGTATATCACGGTCTTCGGCTACCACCCACAGGCGAAAATCGCTGCTGACATCTTCAATCTGTTCGCAAAGACATACAGAACTGGTACATGATCCTGGCACTAATCATTATCATTGATGCTCTTTAAAACGATTAATAGATTCGATAGATATTTGTGAAATGCTGAGTAATTTGTTATGTTACCGGGCGTTGAGTGTACTCGATCAAGAAATGATGCAAGTCCCGTGAGAAAGGGGAGGCGCCGACGACGAGCGCCAGCCACCCACCTGCCGCGCACGCCGCCAGCGCGCCGCGCCATGCCTCCGGACCCTCCGCCACACCCACCTAAACATGTTCAAATCCATTCTTTTTTATTAAACAACGAAATAAAATTAATTTTAGACAACCAAATTAAAATAGCGTTCATTTAAATATTACCTGTATGAGTTTGTGTGCGTGTGCGGCGAGCACGTCCGTGGCGTGCGCGGCCAGCAGCAGGGCGGGGCGCGCGCGCGTCCAGCCCGCAGCTACGCCCACCACATCGCCGCGGCTCATCACACCCACACCTAAGGTAATGTATAGCCAGAAAAAAATTATACACCAATCTTTAATGGAAGAGGATCATATTACTTTATACTACCTAAGATGTCATCAACAAGGGCAACAATAGCCCTGTAGAGTGCGTCGGGACGCAGCACGCTGACGGCGGCCGCGCGCTCCAGCCCGCTCAGCTGCAGCCGCTGCAGGGCGCTCAGCTCGCCCGACCGCAGGAACTCAGCCCACACGGCCTCATTGTCGAGACACATCTTATTGAACAGATTTTCGTTGTTTACCTGGAACAGTTTATTTGAGAAACAGTATTAGAATAGTTCTATTTTATTGCCCTACTTATGTATATTATTGAAAAAGTACCTTCAGTTGAGCTAACTTCTTAACACAATCTTCGGGTGTCCAGGAGTATTTATTTTTGATCTCTTTAACAGTGTTCTGATCTTCCAATATATTGAAATTTCCAATGAACACATTCCACAACTGAAACATTTTTGTTTGTTTTTTACTTACATCTTAAAAAATCATCTCAACATTTTATATAAATATTGTACTTATGAAAAACTTACATCATCCGGCATCAGATCTTCGTACACTTGCTTCAATATATGCAGAACTACAATGTACTTGTCTTTTTTATGCAAACTCAACAACACTCTTTCCACGATACGTCGCGTCAAATACTTCATGATATCGTCCGTTTTAATATTGTTCTCATTCTATAAAATAAAACACACTATTATTTTTACATGCTCATGAGACCCTTTAGTCAGCTATATTGATTTTACCCCATTAAATTCTATTAACCGAACAACTCATTTGTACACTGCACTTACAGTCAGCTTTATTAGTACTACAACATTAGTAAATGAAAAGCATTTATACTGACTCCAGTTTTGTGTAGCGCATCAACAAACACCTCCTGTATGGTATGTTGAGGCAGTGCGAGCAGAGGTCGTTGTGCGGCGAGGTGCTTGACGGCGAGTGCGAGGCGAGCTGCGCGCGCGGCTGCGGGCTCGTACGTGAGGCGGGCGGCGCGAGACTCCGCCTCCAGCGCACGCGCCGCCTCCAGAGCCTCGCGGATGGTCGCCGCGGTCGCGCGCGTCTTGTTCAGCGACGCGAGGAGACTGGCATCGTGTAAAATGTCGCTGTTCTTCGATAGCTCTTTTAGTAGGTTTTCCTTAAAATAGTTAGGTTTTCCTTAAATTTAAATCTACTCAGTACAAGTTGGTGGTTGTTATTGAACTTTACGTTTTGAGCCAATTTAACTTATGATAAAATTATATGTGCTAGCAAATAAATAAATTATTCAAATTATACTTGCTTGTAATTCATACTGTTGCTTTTGTAAAGCCGCTTTCTTGACTCTGATCTCTTTAGTTTTTTCATTAACTTCGGGGTTTCGTTGTTGTAGCGCATAATGGACGAGTTGATCTGAAAAATGAAATGCAGGAACATTTACTTCGTTTACTATTTGATTTCATCAAGTAGTACCTACGGTATGGAAACAGATATAGTACCAGTGAGTGCATGTAGAGAGGCGGCACAGCGCAGCGGGGAGAGTGCGGCGGGCAGGGCGGGGGGCGGGAGGTGGGCGCGACTCAGCAGCAGCCAAGGACGGCGCGCCGGCACTCGCGGCGTCTGCCACACATCTACTTCTGTTATCACGAGGATACGGTTCAAACTGCAACAACAAATGTCTATCATTTCGTTTCTATTATTTCACTCAAAGGGTCGAGTAATTAAACAATTAAGCTGTTGCGCTTCGAAATCTAAAACAAAGCGGGGTTGTTTGTTATTATTATGTGAAATATCTCTTTAATAAAGCGTCAACTGGCTTGTTTTAAAACCTAGTAAGCTTAAGAGAGGAAATATAAATGTAGAAAGGATATTCTATACTGCGGTATACCGACCGATTGGCGTATTGCATTGCTGTAGGCAGTTTGTCGCTGTGGTGGGCGACGAACTCGCAGGGCGTGTCTGCAAGCGTATTCCGCAGCCACGCCTCCACCTCGCCCTCGGGGTCCAACACTAGAGGCGTCAACCCACATTTATTGGCCTCCAGTGCCTGCAAGTAATATAATTTTTACTTGTAATTTTTTTTAGCGCTGGTTCAATGATCGTGAGATCATTTAAAATCATTAATTCACCTGGTCTATAAGAACGGCATTTTTCAAAGCAGACTGATCAATCGGCAGGCCCTCTGCCTCCCATCGTAGCTGCTTCTCCGTCGATACCAGGAAATTGATCACAGAGAACGATACGTCTTCGAACCCAACTAAATTACTCCATTTTCTTATATATTCTCTGAAGTGAATCAAAGTAAAAAATTTAGTAATTTAAGCATCTCAAACTCTCTTATCATTGGTTTCTGAGACCAAAATTAAATATACTGTCCCTCACATTATTTTTGACAAAAGAGAGAAAATACCGTCGATTGTGTAATTAATAATAAAATACTTGGATATAATTGTGTCACCTGGCTTGCGGCTCCGTCAAGTCCGGCAGATAGACTACGTAAGCGGCGGCCAGCAGCGAGCGCACGCTCACATCCACTATCTCTTTTGATATCTTTTGTAGCTGTGGGGATATCAAAAGAGATTTACAATATAGTCGACAACAACATGCAACCTGTAAAAACTGGACAGATATATTGCTTACATCAAGCTCCCAGGCGTCGTACTCGTTGGCCAACTGGTCCAGCAGGTCTTGCGCGTTGTGCAGCGTCTTCTTGGCTTCGCTGAGCTTTAGCTCGAGTGCGGCGGCGTCGCGGCTGTGTAGCCCCAGCTGCGCCTTGAGCGCCGACACGCGCTCCTCCACCGTGCTCAGCCCGCTCGACAGCGCCGACAGCTCCGCCTCCGCCTCCTGTAGATTTCTGCAAACCACGTTTGCTTTCAATTGACTAAATACATGAAAATGCTTCGCTAAACTCAATAAAAACCATCGAAATGTACCACGCAGCATAGTTTGTTTTCTGACGATTACGAGCCGAGAACGCAATTTTTGGCCCTGTATGGAAGCCATCTTATGGTTTTACTTTATTGTTATGATCCAGAGGCGTGTCAATGAATATTGAATAAATGCGGTGTGTACTTGTGCAGGTGGGCCTGCTGCAGCTGGAGGGGCGTGACGCGGGCGAGGGCCTCCGCGTAGTGCAGGTTGGCGCGCACCCAGGCGGCGAGCGGTGCGCAGGCCGCGCTGGCTCGCCGCGCCGCCGCCGGCTCGAAGGACGCGCCGCGCCGCGACACCAGCTCCCGCACGCACTGCACCGCCTCCGGCCTCACCTGGCTCGCGTCCAGACATCTGCGCAACGACCATCTCATACATTGCTACATTATGACCTTTGTCTTTTTACATTTTATTTCCCCTATGAACAAACGAGCAACCAGGTGACTAAACTAACTTATAATAAAACATTAGCAACCTTATATCCTCCTTGACGCCCCGCTTCGAGAGGAATGTCTTCATGGAGTGCCAGGAGGTGTCCGCGATGCCCATGAGGCGCAGCACGCCCTCCAGCACGTCACGTACCACGTCAGGCGGCGCACGTAGTGACCGCACCTACGCTTGCAAAACCAGTTGCTATTAATTATTGCTCCGGCTGCGGCTACGAGCTCCGTCACTGACTTTAGCACTCTGTAAGTAAGTCGGTCTAGTCAGCTGAAACTATGGCTTTCATAATCACCTCGCTGAGCGACTCCGGTCTTATATCCCCGACAGCAGCGCGCGCCGCCTTGATCACCGGTTCTACCGATGCTAACTCTGCTTCAATTTCTTTTTTCCTGTAAAGATAAATTATGTTATTGTAATTTCAATTAAAAATAAACTCTTTCTTTTTCATATTATTACTGTAGATTATGAAAATTTATATACACGTTTAGCACCTTATCTGCAGCTTTTCGTTCTCAATCTCAATGTTCTTCTTGAGGGCGTGCATCTCCTCCTTCTTGTCAGTGGTGGCGCGCACGGTGGCGCCGATCTGGTCGAGGGCGTGGTTGGCGGCCGCCTGCTTCTCCGACAGCTCCACCTCCTGCTCGCCCGCCTGCCGCTGCAGCACCGCCACCTCGCCCCGCGCACCTTGCAGTGCCTCTACACCGCACTATAAACATATCAAAAATGTCTACTCGAGGCACTTTGAAGGGCTATGTGGAAAGTATTTTTGCTACGAGATTATTTAGGCAGTAGGCATCCGTCATAATGCAAGCAATACAATTCACAAGGATGTGATATGTTTCCAAAGCTACATAAATATGTCTTCCACTGACCGTTAGCATGGTTTTCCTCTGTATGAGTTGGGTCTTCTTCTTACTGAGTATGAAGTAGTATGATTTGACAAAGTTGACATATCTTGAGGGAGTTCGCAGCCACTCCGCTTCAATACTGTTGTAGATATTGACGAAGCTGTCTATTGGAATAGTGTCGACATCTTCTTTTGTTACTTCCGATATATTTTCTTTTAATAACCTGCAATTACTTTTTATTAAGTGATTTTATTCATATTGGAATCCGAATTCAATTCGAATTTCAAAGGAGTCTGTAATTGATCTTATGTTTATATTTTTATATAGATGACGGTTAAAAGGTACATAAAGTGCAGCAAATACTAAATACATAATTATGCGTAATTTTTTTTATAACAATGTATAAATACATGATAATAATTTTAAATACATATTGTGAACTTTTACGTGCAATTTGTTTGCTAAAATAGCGTGATGTGCTTTGCGTTACCACACAAATGTGCCTCTGAATTTAATTCGATACCTCTGTATTATTAATACGGGCATTTGCCGTAACGTTTCCTCCGACCAACGTTCCAGCCACACAATGTTACTGTCGTAGTGGAGGAACGGATACTTCTCAAACAAATCTGGTAAGTTCTCTTGGTCTTTATTTAGCAAAATTACAATAGCTAAATGTTGTTTTATATCTGAAATTACGTATTAAATATCAAGTTTCGTTTCAGTTTCTCCTGTATAAGTTTCATATTAGTAAATAAGAAAAGAAACGAAATAATAGAGTTTTCCGAGGTTACAAATTTAGTATGTATGAAATGGAAGAGTGTTTAAACATGCGAAGATCTTACTGTGAAGTAGATGTTGTGTGTGTTGCGAGTGATTGTAGGCGGGCACGATGTGGGCGGGCACGGCGTGCAGCGAGTCCGCGCTCAGCAGCGCCTCCAAGTGTGCCAGCGTGTCGCCGCACACCGCACTCTCCTCTAACACCACTATTGTACGCGTGCACTCACCCGCACATGATACAGCCTGTGGAGTGATAATATATTTTACCGCTAAGACGCCATGTTGCCATCATTCAGAGACAATAATTTTGTTGGAAATAAACGTTAGGTAAGAATCTACATTAACATTTTTCATTCCCTAAGTCGATTCTACTAGAAAGGAAACATTGGCTCCTTAAATACAGGTCTACCTAGTTAAGGAGCCAAGGCGATATTGATACTGTAATCCTTTAATATGCAATAAATGTCTTATTATTATTCTAGATGAAGATTTTGATTAAATATACATACGTTTTTAAATGTAGTAGCGAATTGTTTATGTTGATGTATGGTGTAGAGCGCGGCAGGCAGCGCGGCGGCCACCAGCGCCGCGGCCGCGCCCCGCCCGCACCCCGCCCCGCCCACACACACCGCCACGCCCCCGTTTGCCTAAACAATACATTGTGTCAGGTTTCTACTCCATTTATTGCATTATTGCTTACTCATAATTACATGTTTTACTCACAGCTCTAGCTATAACGGGGCACAGTGTGGCCAGCTCTACGCAGGTTTCGATTCCACTTTCAGTGAATACATTATCGTCACTTTCAGTCACTGGTGTCAGTAAAATTGTATGTGATTATCATGTAGGAAATGAATTTAAACAATTATTATACTGAATTAATGAAATACTTACAGCATTGATTTATAAGTTTCTGTGTATCCTGGTACCATACGTCATATTCCACCGCCTCTAGGTACACACCGTTACTACGTACTCGTGGTTTGAAGAAATACTTATCATTGTCGCTGTGCTTTAGATATCGTTTGATTATATTATTATATTCAGCTTTTTCTTCATCAGAGACTAGTCTGTTTTTAAATATCAAGTCAGCTTCAGCTTTTATTGCCTACAAATAAGACTCAAATTTTAACACACGAGAACCGAGACAACTCACTGTCGCAGTAAAATTTACTCAAAAGTAGTTTGACAGTATCACTACGCAGGATTTTTTGTTTTGTTAAATATATAAATAATTTAATCTTCATTTGTTCTGAAAGTGGGTTGATTTTATAGAACAAGTCATCTTTGAGAACAAGAGATCTTTGAACTTAGTAGATTTAAGTAAATAAAACTGTACTGTTTTGACAACACGTACCCCATGTAACTCAGCGGGGGTGGACGGGGCGTGCCATTTAACACTTTCACACCATTTTTTCAAATGCGACGCGTTCCATTTATAATGTGGCCGAGAAGTAAACGTTTCAGTTACCTAAAAATTAAACCATAAATATTTAATGTACAAAAAGTGTCCGTAGGTAATTAAAGGACAAGGAAATGTTTTTTTACCTCCTTAAACATTGCCAGCATGTTATCAATCAACTGAGACACTTCTTGTCCGGATATCGCTTTAGGTATATTCTCCATTAGGGTTTTTGTCGCCAATTCGGTGAGTTCCTCTTCGTCAGGTTCACTACAAAAGATAATAAAAAACATTACAAATCCCTTATTTATAATGTTTTATTAAAATGGTCATCAACATTTGTTTTGTTACGTGAAGACAATTGTGTGTAGTTGAGCGGCGAGGCGGGACGAGAGTGCGGCGGCGGCGCTGGCGTCTGCCGTGGCCACGAGGTGCGCGCGCGCGGTGCGGCTCCACTGCGCCCCGCCCTCCTCCTGCGACCAAAACCCGCCTTGCTGCACCAGCTGAAACATTTGAATTTTTTTCACATTTGAAACCTTGATATTGAATATTTAAAGAACCAGATATGTCCTAAAACTATGGCAGCTACCTGCAGAAGGAAGGCGTGCAGGGCGCAGGAACCCCAGGAGTCGCGACGCGCGCGGTGCAGCCCGCGCACGAGGAGCGTCACGTGGCCCCGCTCGCCCCCACCTTGACCCTGCCCGCCCGACCGCACAGCGTTGCTCTGTATATCAATACAAGTATATTAACAAAAGTAATGTTGTAAGACGTACCTCCTTGAGTACAACTTACCCTTCTAAGTTCTGCGATAACATCAGCGGGCTCCAAAATCGGTGTACAATCGATCGTTATGACTGTCGAATTAAATTCCTTCAAAACATATTCGGCCATAATACTGAAAGAAAGGTTTAAAAGTGTTATTACTATAATAGCTTAATCAATTGCAGAGGGACAAATGACTAAAGGCGATAGATTTTTTATTTTACAAACTTCTTAGCGCAGGCGTGTGGTCCTATGAGCAGCGCGTGCGCACGCTGGGCGAGGGCCGCGCGCAGTACGAGGTCGCAGTGGGCGAGGCGCGGAGATAGATACAGCGCCTCCGCCCACTGCCCGCGCGGACCACGCCCACCCATCGCCGGGCCCACGTAACACGATATCTACCATATATACACAGGCCTTTTAATGCAGATACACAAAGAAAAAAATTAATATTTTAGTAAATATTACAATTTATACTGTATTTTAAAATAATAAAAACATTGCCTACCTCTGTATAAAAGCTGTCAAGTGCACTCTCTTTTATAACTCCCAACACGCTTCGTTGTATAGACAAGTAAACTAATTCTTCAGGGGATATACCGACGTTGTTGGTTGCGTCGTTGTCCATTACATGTTCGAATTGAGTCAATATTTGCTTCACCTGGAATAAACAAATTCAATTATTAAAATATTGTAACTATTTAACAAACGTAACTTACATTTACAAGTTGATGGAAACAATACTAATTTCGAAAAAGTTTTTATTATTTGATTTGAAAACTAAAGCTTAGTTTTCAATTCATATAAATTCGAGTTCGATTCGACTTACCATAGTAACAGTGTAAAGCTTCATAGTGACATCGGATTTATGTTTCTCGAACCAGACGATGGATTTCTTAATTGCTTGGTGCAATATGGGTAGCGCTAACTTCCCCAACTCTGATTCGAATTCAGCTTTACGCATCCAATTCTCCAATACCTCCTCCGCGCAACTATACTCCTCACTATAGATAATATTATAATAAAAGTAAACAATTCAGTCTATTAATGTTTACATACAAAATTAAAAAAAAATCGCAGAAATTGTGACATTTTTATCAAGATAAAGCAAAAGTACCTGAGTAGTATAATCCCGAGCCTGGAGACGGTGGCTGGCGAGGCGTGGTCCAGTGAGTGCGTCTCGAAGATGAAGTGGGCGTTGTGAGGTAGCAGCACGCGCGCGCCTGACGGCAGCGTCAGCAGCCGGTTGTCGTCCAGCACAGAGTTCAGCGCCTCCACCCACTCCGGCTCCACCTCCCCGTCGCACACCACCCACGATGAAACCTCTGAACGAAGCGATCATTTAATAGAAGGAAGGAATATTATGTGACAAGGAGAACGTTAAGTATGAGGGTGGAAGAGTACACAGATAGAGGTAGGCCTAGGAAGAGATGAAAGTGACGACTGAGATCACGGTGGATAAATTGATTTGGAGTTCGGAAAACTGGTGCGCCAACCCTGCGTAAGTGGAACAGGAAAGGGTGATGATATGGATATTCGTATGTGATGTATAGGTGTTGACTGACCGTGTGGTTGAGTGGCAAGCTGCAGTGCGACAGAGGAGATGACGCCGTCAGTCCACTGCCTGGTGTCGGGTTCGATGTGTCCCAGCAGCCAGCGCCGGCTCATCGCCTTCGGGTATATCACGTACTCAGCTATGCTTTGCCCTTGTTGTGACAGCGCCTGACATTTGTATGTTAAATTAATTGAAATTGTCGTTACATCTGTGTAATATTATTTATTATTATCTGTTCGAATTGTTCAAGCTTACAGTTTTAAGTAATTTTCTAATGGTCGATTTCCCCGAACCGGGCGGTCCCACGATTGCCACGCCCATACGTTGTTGCAGCTGCTCGTACAACTCCATACTCTTTTGGATCTGGAAATTAATTTTCTATTATATTATACATTATATATACATGATATATTAATTATAAAATCTACAAATTACAAAATTGTAATACAATATTTTTGTATTTATTTACATCCTTATTTTACCTGGTCTTTGTTATATATTAATCCAAGATCTCTCACAGCGGAGTTTAATGCGTCAACTATTGGATCAACAGTCGTCTCCTCTTCCGGCACGCCGGCAAATACCATGGACAAAATGTTTTCAAATCTGAAAAAAAAAACAAGGAATAATGTTAGCAATATTCAAGATAAAACAAACGTATAATTTATTTTTTATTTTTGAGATAACCTTTGTGCGTCGTGGGTGGTAAGTTTAGAGATGTTGTTGAGTCTCAAGAGGCGGCGCAGTGCGGCACGCTGGCGGGGCTCGGGGGCGTGGCGCAGCGTGCTCAAGGCGGCGCCGCAGCTGCCCACCGCCGCCTTCAGCGCGCGCAGCCCCCAGTCGTAGTGACGCTGCCCGCTCAGCAACATGCTGATAAACAATATTTAGGGATAAAGACATAATTTTTATTTTAAAGTAACAAAATTTTTAGGAGAAATAAAATGCAAGGAAGATTCTTTTCAGCACGAATCGGTTTGATGTGTACCTCGCCATAGTGAATACGTCGTGCAGGTCCTGTGCGCGAGCGTGCGGATCTGCGAGGCAGTGTGCGGCGAGCAGGGGCGCGGCGAGGTGGTCCCCACGGGGCTGCGCCATGCTGACGGGGCGCAGCACACGACACAACGCCGCCGGCAGCGCGCGCCGCCCGCCATACCCTCGCCCACACGGGTTCATGGTCGCCGCCACCCCGCACCACGATGATACTTTCACCTGATTATTGACCGATCAAAATACTTATTGTTTAACTTCCTGAGCAAGTACTGATATACAAAACAAGTAGCTGTATATAAAACAATAACATTTTATTATTTTTATATTAAAGATAAGAAACGGACACGCAGCTCTCGAAGTAGGCGATTATAGCACGAAATCATACGCCTTTATACTCATTTTTATTTATAGTATACATAGTATGATGCATCGTAAATTTTAATAGTTTCCTTAGTTATCTATGAATTGTCGTCAGTTTATTTTGTAATGAATATTCAAATCCTTTGTCCTGTTTACCTCTTGTTTTTTTAAAGATATATCAAATTTGCAGACTCACGTGTTTTCCATTGAGCAGTGCGTGTGCGTCGTCGCCGGCGCTAGTGTCTTTCTGCATAGCGGCCAGGAGCGAGGTGAGCTGGTGGGACACGGCGGCCAGCGTGTCACCAGACAAGCGATTGAACTCGTCGAAGCAGCCCCACGCACCAGTCAGAGCCAGACCGGTCAATAGACGACCCATACACTCCGCATCCATCGCCTTTATTACAGTTTTATATTCAATATGTATGTTTATTTCATAGAAGTATGTTTGAAGTATCATAATTATTTACCTCGTCACAATTGAATACAAGCACGAGACGTCCCACAAGGCCCCCGAGCGCCTTCACGGATTCTGTTTTCCCAGTACCAGCCGGCCCGAATGGGTTACCCATTGATCCCAGATACGACGCCTTTAACACATTTTGATAAGAATGTTATTTTACCATGAATAATATTTAATATTTGGTTTAAACGCAATAAAATAGTAAATTTTGAATTGCATTCGTTATACCTGAGTTAATATTAAAAAGCACTCGTCAGCAAGTTGTGTGCGTACAAACTGGCCAGTGTTTACGCCGAGATACTCGTACGAGTATGATATTTTAGCCAGTCCCATTTCGGCAAATATTTCTTTTGTATTTCGTAAGTAAAATCTGGAAATTGTAATAAATCTTTAACGTATTCAAATAGTTAAGAACGTTCCTTTCTTCTTAGAATTATGTTTTAGCAGACATAGACATAATAAGCGACATACAACAAGTTATGGCTACTATATTACTGAGTAAACATTATTCACAGCCAGACATTGATCTGAGCTTTTATCCAATAAGCAAATTAATTTCTTTTTATTTCTCGAAAACTGATTTATGGTGGTGGTGTGCAATAAAAAAAGTAAGCTAAGCTTGTCATTTCTTGTTTTTTTTTAATAACACTTGAACTACCTGAGTTGTTTCTGCCATAGCCAATCATTTATGGAAGTTATATTATTGTCTATGAGAGTCCGCACTACGGACATATAGTGGGTACACTGCAGTATCACAGCTTGTCGCTTCTCTTTCTCACTCTCATCTTCAATCTCCGCTGCTGCGTAAGTCGCGTTCTCTTTTTCTACGCTAGTTATCAATTTGTGCAGTTCTTTTGTGGTGATTGCCTTTTCCGCTTGTTCAGTGAAACGTATGTTTTGCACTAAACAAAGTATCTGCGTCGGCAAAGAGAAGGGATCCTGTGCGTGGGTACTTTCCGTCACTAAGCAGTTTAGCGTCAAGTTTTGTAGGGACGAACGAATCTCGCTTTCCAGGTTTTTTAACCACACCTGTGAGACATGAATTGTTCATATAATAGTATTAAATTAATGTTTATACTGCAACCGTGAGTTTCTGAGACCAAAGTCCCTGTTTAAAACATTTTGCTATATCTGTTTTGTCAAAGATCTTGGTCTCAGAAACCAACAGTAAGTGGTAACAAACTTACTTCTACAGGGGAATCTATATCGACTGGATGATCCAGTTGGAAGGTCTCTCCGTAATGGCTGCATAGTGCAGTGATAGACAACCCTGAAGGTCCCAGTTTGACGCCTGTTATACCGGGGAAGAGTTTTTTTAGGTGCGACTGCATGACAGCCTCTCTCCCTTCTGCACCGGCTCTCGCCTGCCCCAACAACTCCAGTAGATCATCATCGCTTAAGAAATATAGTCTAGGAAAAACCGACCGTTTCTCCTGTAAAGGTAAAAAATTAAATAATTAACTTAAAATTCAATTTATAAATAAACTGGTTTTTGCTACAAAGGCATTGTATTTTATTTTTGATCTGCAAGTAATGTTTGTGACTTATTGGAAATGTAATAATAATTATGTTTTTTCTTAGCTTTATTTACGTTTTTCATATTTTAAGGCAACTAAAAATATATTTATTTTCGAAAGCAGCGAATATACATATAGATATCATTCTCATAACATCAAGTATATACCATAACAACAGGCAATAGCTTGGCTTTTTCATTTTAAAAAATTAGATCGGTCAGTGATTAAATAAGGATGCTCACATCAATGTACTGATTTAAAGCAGACTGACAAGCGTTAAGTTGTTCCGATATGGAGTCTAACGTAGGTTGGAGCCTCGCGGACTGCAGCAAGCCGGATAGCCGAGGGTCAGAATCAAGAATGCGCGCCACTTGGCGGAAGCCCTGGTCAACCTTTCGGAATCTCGCACCCAACTCGCCGTCGTCGTTACTCAGTATCGGTTCTAAGTATAACCATCTGAAAATATAAAAATTAAATACCGTCTTGAACATGGCTTACTCCGAACACGAACATGACAATTCCCGATTCTGTACAGATTTTTTTTTCTAGGAATGTAGCTTCGAGAAAAGCGCGGAATTCAAATATTGAACGACATGTTAAATGTTTGTTTTTTAATTTATTCCTAGCTATTGTGATAAGTTTTGTCTATACTGATTGCCTACAACAAAAACCTGTACTGTTGAAGCATTGAAATAGTACGGCATTCTATTAAGTTTCCCCTCTTACATGTATTGCTTTTTCGCTTTATTCAAATCACTCCCCTAGCATTAAGAGCTAGTGGATTTTGATGTAGAGCTATGTTTGATATGAAGGTAAGGAGAATAAAATGTAAAAAATTACGACAAATAATTGAAAAAATCTTTACGACATTTGTGTTTGTTAATTCTTCGATAAAATATAACATTGTTTTTTTTTTAAGTTGTGTGTGTGAAATAATTCTGCAGAAACAGAACATTTTTAAATTAGTCATGTAAGCAAAATCATCATTAGGTCATCACTAATTATCATAATTGGCCCTCACGCAAACTGCTCCAATTTCATGGAAACTGAAATAAACTGTAAAATTTACTACTTTTTTATTATCCTGACAATTTATTGTAAATCCTAAAACAATTTATTAAAATTAATAAGGTTAAAAAAGGAGGTGTAAGAATTAAATAAAACACAAGTATTTGTTGGACAACTTTAATAATAAAGTACAATTAAGTATAAATGCCTCGTACGTATCGCTGGTACTGCTGACAAAATGTATCAAAAACAACATATCTATGTTACAAATATAAGTAAATGTTAGTAGTTACACTAGGGCAAGATGATAAATTATTTTTACAAAATCAATACAAAAGGTATAAATGCAAAATATATCTCATAGCTTACACATAAACTGAAAACTCAAGAGTATCTTAAAAACGTACTATACGTGACATTATTTATTATCTTAAATCTTAATTAATACAACTCTCTCTACAATAACTATATGTAATTCTTTGGAATAAGTTCAATCGGAAGCAGTCTAACACTTAAATAGAAAAAAATATTAAACACATCCAGTTCATAATGTTCGAGAATTATTTAAGTTGATTTATAATTTATATTATTGTTTTACTATTGAAGTTACAAAGATATGGTTAAATTAGAATCACAATTAGATAGTTAACATAAGTACATCATCTTCATATAATTGTATGACATTTGAACATTCATCTTATCCCAACGTTATATAATGTAGGAAATCCATATTATAACCAAAATGAACATAAAAATATATTTAAAGTGTAAACTAGTTGAAAAGAACTATAAAATTAATATATAATAGAATATTTTAGTTGAATCTCTTTTTAAATATTATAAATTTGCTAAACATAAAAAAAAAACAAATGTATTGGGGTCAAAATAACATGGCACACGAAACAAACAAATATTTTTGTTTAAAACAAACATTATGTTGTGCAAGATCTGTAGTAGTCAGAGCGCTTTGTGATTTCGGATAAATAATAGTTCATTTGAGTATTAAGGTCACCAATTTCTTTCTCTAGTGTATTAAGTTGTTCATTATGATCGTTATACAATTCTTCCATATTAGTCAACAGTTTTAGTTGCATTTGGGTGTCACTGGCAAGTTTTGTTGCTCGGTTTAGCAACAGCTGGGCTTGTTCTCGGGAGTTTAATGTTTGGTTCGCACGTTCGGCAAGAGACATATTCGTCTGCTTAAAGTTTTGTCTAAGCTCTCTGGCCTTTTGTTCGGCTCCCTCGGCTCTATTGACTACATCGTTTGCCTCTTGTTTAACTTGTTCTGCATCACTTTCAATTTTTAAATTATTTTTTTGCAAATCTGAGAGCCGCAAGCGAAGACTTTCGACTTCCTCCATAGTTTCCTTTGCTTTTTTCTGAGCTTGTTCGGTTTCCAATGCAATAGGAATTAAATCACTTTTAGCAGCTTCGATATCATTATTTGCTTTGTCGATTGCATTTTCTGCTGCATCTTGTGCGGCTTGAGCTTCATCCAAAGCTTCTAAAACTTTATTAGCCATTCCAAGGGTCAAATTAGCTTCGTTACTAACTGCTGTCGCGTTTGTTTTCAGAGCTTTCGCTCTTTCTAAGTCAGGCTTTGTTTCAGTTATGATATTCTCGATATTGGTAAGTTGTGAAACGGTGGAATTAATTCGTTGCGATAGTTCTGTGATTTCTTTTGGTTCGATTCTAATAGATAAATTCAAGATATCATTGGCCAAAGTCCTTACATCAGCTGGGGTATTAGAAGTGTTTGATAAAAATTCTTTTAATTCTGTTGTTAATTCATGGCTTTCATTGGTGACTCTTTCTGCAGATATTTTAAAGTCTTTAGCTTCGTCTAGTAAACTTTTCGCTCGGGATCGTACTGCAATTGTATCTTGTTTTGCTTGCGAAATCGATCTAAATAGATCCTCGGCATTAAGTTCGTGATCTTTTATTCTGTATTCAGTTTTGTTTGCAAAATCTAGTGCTTGTTCAGCTTTTGTTATAGCACCTTGGTCGCAAGATATTCCACCACATTTTCCACAACCTGCTCCACCGCAGATATCACAAGAATCACTTTCTTGTCCACACATTTTTTCATTTATTTTTGGTATCTGCGACTCCAAATTCGATAGTTGTTCTTGCAAATCATTCAATTTCTTATCATTTTCACTTTGTGTGTTATTAAAATTCAAGTACTGTAGTTCTATTAATCTGTCTGTATTTTTAAGTTGACGATCCGTATCAGCTATAACTGTTTGGACATTTTCCGCTTCGTCCGCTGCTTTAGATGCTCTTTGTTTAGCTTCACGAGTTAAATTAAGAGCGCCTTCTAAATTGGCTTCTTGTAATTTGGTTGCGTTGTTTCCTAAATCAATAGTCTTTGTTTTTAACTTTTCAATACTCAATCTCAAACCGTCAAGTGTTACATTACCTAAATTAATTTTGGACGTTATATCATTAAGATTATCATTACTCTCTTTAACTTTTTTGTCTGCTTGAGCCAATTGATTCTGTAAGCTAGTAATATTTGATAGCAAATCTTTTACCGTACTCTGTCCCTGCTTGGCACTTTGGAGAGTATTTTCAACTTCTGCTAATTTCTTAGTCATTTCTTCAAAGTCTCTTGTATATGCTCCAGTTGCTCCTATAATTTTTATTTTACTAGCGTTCCCAATAGCGTATTCAGTCTGAGTGCGCAAATCTCCGATTATTCGGTCCCAGCTGTCGAAACACTCGCCGCAAGCATAACATTGAGGAGCATCACCGAGGTATCCTCTAGCACAAATATCACAATTGTAACCACCAATTCCAGGTTTACAAATGCATGAACCGTTTTCACGCACACATTGCTGAGTCACTGATCCATATAAATTACATTCACATTCATGGCATTCTATATTCGGATCACCCCAGTGATTCTCTTGACACTGATCGCATTGCCTACCACCATGTCCTGGTTTACAATCACAATTACCTATGTATGGGTTGCACTGCGGAGAAACTGATCCAATAGGATCACATTCACAAGGATCACATCCTGTACCAAGAGCTATTCTCCAGTGGTTTTCAGTGCATTGGTCGCAATTTATTCCCATAACATTTTTGAAACAAGGACATTGTCCACTTATACGATCACAATTTCCTGTTGTAAAGTTTGTGCCCAATTCTGAACAGTTACATTTGTAGCATGATTTCTCCAAAGCATTTCCATAATATCCTTCATCACAAATTTCGCAATGTTCACCGGCTGTGTTGTGTAAGCATTGTAAGCATTTTCCAGTATACGGATCACAATTTCCAGGTTTTGTGACATCTATATTTTCATTGCATTCACATTTCTCGCACGTGCCTTTTACAGGATCACCGTAATAGTTATCAGCGCAAACGTCACACAAAAGCCCAGCATATCCTTCTTTACAATCACAAACAACATCTTTTGTTTCTGGATCTAACTCGCAGCGATCAGCGTGGCTGCTTTTATTGGGATCACCTTTAATACCTGGGCAAGGACATGGTCGGCAAGGAATATCAACTCCAAGTCTAGGGTCACCATAATATCCGTCAACACATCTCTCGCAACGATGACCTTCTGTATAATCTCTACATTCTTTGCAAGCGCCAGTCTTGTCATCGCATTCAACCGCATGTCCATTGCAGTCACATTGTTGACAATTTGGAAAGTTGAAATAGCCTGGTTGACATAAGTCACACGCTCGACCGTAAGTATTTGCTCTACATTTACACTGTCCGCTCGTAGCATCGCAGAAATTGTCAAGACTTCCAATACTGTTACAATCACAACGCTTACAACCAAACTTACTAAAGCCATACGTACCAGGAGCACAACGATCACACCTAGCACCAACAATATTTTCAACACATTGACAGTATCCAGTGTACGGATCGCATTGGTGACTCTTTGATCCTGTAAGATCGCATTGACATGATTCGGAGCCATTCCTTATGTAAAATCCTATACTAGCATGATACTTTTTACAAACGTCGGGTATGTTTTCTCTATTAAGATCATAGTAATAAGAATCGCCACAGTTGAAACGATCAAATTCATCCCTCATGTAACTTCCGTTCGACAAGAAAGGTAAATCATCGATAGAAGGCAAAAGTGCAATTGAATCGATCAAAATAGAGGCTCTAGTATTAAATGAATGTCCATCTTGGCGACCTAGATATATTCTTATTTCAGTTTCTTTATCTTTTTCTAAACATATAGACGGTTTGACTAAGACACTACGCTGAGTTGCTGGTAAATAGGTATTAATTGTGTCATCTTCAGGCCGCACATTTGCGCACGGCGAATCAGGATCAATTGGCGTAAGTCTCCTAACATAAATTGTGGCTTCTTCCCAAGTCATAGGAGCCTGCGGCTCATACCGAATCAGTACATTGTAATTCATACTCGTTTTTAAGTTATTTATCTTGAAAACTAGAGTGCTACTTTCCGGTATTTTCATGAATCCTGGACCGGTCCACGTCTCCTTACGGCCATCAGGGAAGTTTTCTCGTATTACAACGTGACATAACTGACTTTGAATTGCATTATCGTCTATTTGGGAATCGCATTGACTTGATTCAGCTTCAATAACGATGGAATCGAGAGCCCCTACGAAGAAGTTCTGTATGGGTGTATCACATCGACGGCCGGATACATTCGGACGGCATTTGCATTGTCCCGTTATAACGTCACAATCTCTATCGATTGATCCACCAACATCACAATCACAGGGTAGACACCCGTCGTCACTGTCCGAGAGGCCATAGAACTCTGGAAGGCACTGATCGCAATTTCTGCCAGTAACATGACGTTTGCAGAAACAATTACCCGTTGAAGGATCACATCCTCTTTCAATGACTGTGCCTAGATTATTACAGGTACATGATTCACATCCTTCGGGATTAAGTGGATCGAAATTCCAAAAGCCATCCTTACATCTATCACACCTTGCTCCGTCAATATTTTTCTTACACATGCAACGGCCAGCGGTTTTGTTATTTGCGGGATCTGTCTCATCATCACACAAAACTTCCCTGTCTGTAGTACCTTCTGGATCACAATCACATTGTTTACATATGTCTGGATTTTGTATATCCAAACTGGGGTCTTTGTAAAAAGTAGGTCGACAGCGTTCGCAATTTACACCCATTGTGTTATGTTGACAATTGTCACATACACCACCGCTTATTTTTCCGGTTTTATTGTAAACCGCTGGATCAAAATGACAAGTAGTAGCATGGTTATTACATGTACATCTTTTGCAAGCATTAGACGTTCGTCCGACGGCCGGCTGCCATGGCAAATCGTTGTAAAAATCTTCACAATATTCACAGTTTAATCCGCGAGTGTTATGTGTACATTCGCAGCGGCCGTGTACCATGTTATTTTTCGATTCGACCCCAGGCATGGGTAGACATCTCGAAGCGTGACCATAGCACGAACAGGATCCTCGTACTGTCATTTCATATATAGCGTAATAATATTTAAACTTTATTTCGGCTCGATTATCAAGATGATCATCGCCCAGAGTGTGAAGTTTCGTGAAGTTAATTCTAAGATTTGTCATTCGTAACAAATTTTGCACTTCTTCCGAATAAGGATTCGTCACATTTATATTTGAAGGTAACACTCTGAATATCACTTCACCCTCAGAGGACGGGGAGACGCCGGAGTAACGGGAATCACACACCACTTCTGTTAAGCTTCGTTGGGAATGTCGCGGCACTAACGGGAAGGATTCGGCACAGTTGTGCGCGAAATAACGATAGACGCGCCATGTCTTTCCAAAATCAAAAGATCTCTCAACTAACATAGCAGCTGGACGAAATGTTTTAAATTGTATTATTAAGTGTGTAAGATGGAATTCAGCCTCCATGTCGAGCCGAATGGATACGTTTTCCTTTCCGTTTTCAGACTGCCACCATGATCTGTATCTCGTTCCCGGGTAAAATTTGTAAATAATATTTTGTATTCTATGATTTTCGTCAGGTTTATGTATCGTTTTGTTCGTAGAATCGCACGTAAAGCAGGTTTCCCTTTCTTTTCGGAGTCTGTCGTCCAAGTACGAGACGATGCAGTATCGCTCGCGGCGATGCAGGCCGCACGTCGACGTCGCAGACAGCCGAGATTCGCGGCCGATGAGCAAATTGCCTGTGGCAGGATAGCAAGAGCTGAGCTCACATGCGCGGTCGAGGAGGCGGGGATCAGCGCGTTGTCGATCGCGCTCACGGTTGTAGACGGCGCCGCCGCCGGCGAGAAGCGCGGCCACAAACAATGCGCGTAGAGCCATAGCACGTAGTGGCTCCCGCGCGCCGCTCACTGCACTGGCGCGGGGCCGCCGCCGCCGCCGGCCGCACTCTCGCGCCGCCGCGCCTCATGCCCCCGCCCCCCGCTTCTCAGCCTCCATTCTAGGGAGCAGGGCCGTTCTTACGCATTAAAGCTCTTTTTAAATTCTTCTAGGTACAAGCTTCTACTAATTCAAACTTCACTGGCACTTGTCACACTTTAAACGTTTCTCTTAATATTATTTATTGTCACCTAATATTACCTAAGTTATCGATCTAGTTTCTTTGCAGTGTCGTCGATTATTGTGGCATCGCGTTCGTGTTAAACAGTTTTTTTGAATTGGATTAATATGCTAGGTCATTTTATCTTTAGGTATTAACCACTAGCAAAGAATGCAAGTACCAAAAGATGTTAAAAGTGAAAATTAATGCTTTCACATATTTAAATTATAAATTCTAAAATCTAAATATCTATGTAGAGAGAAATAAAGATTTGAGGTTGATTTCGAGTAATAAAGCTTTCGTTATAAACATAACACTCAAAACATCGAATCCATCTGTAGGGCAACATCGTCTAATATGTTTAAAATTTTTGGCAAGTTTCAAGAATTTATTCTTTAGCACCGAGTACGGACCTGTACAAGGCGACGACCGCTCCCGCCCGCCGCGCTCGTGCCGATCTCAGGCACTAAGCAACAAAAATAACGACGCTTTCGGGATGCGCTTTTTGTTATGGTCATTATGCCATACTAACATGCTTCCTTCTGCTAACAACCGTCGCAAAATTATTACTTCGTTTTGTATTATTTATAATTTAGTTTAGGTAAAAAAACAGGTTTGTAAATAAGTTTCAATGAAATGTTAAAAATATGAAATAAACACAAACATATTATAGTTTAATTTTGTTTCTGCTTAATTAAAAAGATCTTTTATTAGGTCACAAAAGAGTGCCATTGCAAGAGAGAATTCTGTCCTAAGCAGGTAGTTATTACGGTTATCTGTTTTTTATTTTAATATTGATCGGCTACCTTGATAATGTCGGCAAATATAACATTTTCTTTTTCTAATGTAACCACATAAATAATACAAGTATGTACGTGTCTGTATAATTACAGATTTCAGTGTGCATATTCCTGACATGGTCTCGTACCTTCACATTCCCATCTATTCGATAGTTACGTTACGAATAAAACTCATTATGTTTTTAACAATGTTCAATATGTCAGTAGCATGGTCACGTTGTGCGGTTCGGCGGCAGCGGCGACGATACCTACTACAGCGGCTGACACTCTTCCGCCAGCGCATCCGTTCATGATAAAACATTCGCGATCCACACTCTTCATACACTAAATTTATGAATCGACAGCTGTTAATTATTGTGTCCTCTATTCGATTAATTCATTAAACGATACAAAAAGCGCAATAATACCGAACATACAAAACAAACCCGCGCTTAACTAATGCGGAAAAACTATTAACTCCTCAGTGCTTAATATACAGCTATTTAAAAAAGGAAAATGATTTCAAATTGCTCATAAAATTTGGAATGAAATGATTCTATTAACATTTTTTAGGTTTTTCAGGATATAAATCTTCAACGGCGTCCTATAATTAGAGTTTTTAAAGAAAACCTCATCAAAATCTTTCTAGTGGTTTAGAACTCACAATCAAACATAATTTTTATTTATTCATGTCGAAAAAGATAAATATCTAGTATAATAAAGCAGCTTCAACATTCATTAAGTTAAATGGACCAAACGTGAGCAATTGCTTATTCCATGGTACTGAACATTGGAAAGGGCAGCTATCGTGGCTCTATAAAGTAAATGTTAAATAGTGACATTTCTGAAAATATGTTATAATTTCTGAATTTTTTTTTAACATTTTCGAATTATTATTTTAGTGTCTTAGGGTAAACTTTGGAGACCTAATGTTTCGATGTTTTCTGCATATTATTGAATTTGAAAATTATTAAACATTAGTAAAATAATATTAATTATAAGTTTGATAATAATAAACATTAATGTTCTGTGTTTTTTGTTAATGTTCTTTGTGCCATCTACAACGTATTTTTTATTAGATTTGTATGAAAAATTATACATACGTTAATTAAAATTTATTAAGTAAAAAATTATTTAAAAGAAGTAAATAAGTACATCGTATGTACAAATATTTGGTTTCCCAAATGTACTTAAGTCAATTTTGAACTGGTATAATTTTACAACGAGTGATCACGAAGCAAAAATAGACATAAAAATCGGCCTCTTTAAAACTAGATAACTTGTTACAATTTCGACAGTTAACCGATAACCCCCTTATCTGTTTCAAGCGGAATAGAAACATAACATCATATAGAATATACTACTTTAAAGTCTATTATAATGTAAAACAAACACTTAACTAAATTCCAAATACGTAAAATAGTTATGACATTTTATTATATTTTCACTAAACATTATTTTGCCCTAACAGAATAGTGTTACCAATTACAATTTAATAAATGAGCTTAAGAATTATTGGTCGTACGTTTATTGTTCAAATCTTTTGCCCTTGCTGAATGAACCTCCAAAACAAAGGTCTGCGAACACGTCAAAGATGTCGAAATCAGGGTAGGCCTTTATCCTTTCTTTTAGGTATTTTTAGCCGACTTCAAAAAGAAAAAGGTTAGCAATTCGTCCATATTATTTAACAACTGTTTAACAGGACACCTAGGTATTTGTAAGCTTAGTAATTTAACCCTTATCCTAATGTCACAACGGCTGTGAATGAACGCTTTGACATCGATAAGCGGTCATTCTTAAAACGCGGTTATGATGTCAAAGTTCAGGCAGATAAATGTTCTCATAACGATTCCCTGTTCATTATCTGAGAGACCTTAACTGATGTACACATTTTTTTAACATTGTATCTGTTAAATAATTTTTATACTGTAAACTGGCAAATGTACCTACAACATATTTCTATCAAGTGCTCGACTCACACAGAACATCGATTTTAACTTATCGCCGCAAACAAAAATTGTAAAAATGTCACAGGAGGCCTAAACAGGAAATGAGGGAGTTAGGTTAGAACTAAATTTATCGCAGATTGCTCATAAATCCTCAATATAACTGGTAGTTAATGCGCGGTGTCGCGGCGTATAGCGAAACTTCAGGGATTTGTTGCATACATTACAGAAGAAATTTAGATATACTACGACACTTAGAGCAAAGAGATTAATGTAGGACATGAAAAACCCTATTTGAAAACGACTGAACTTACACGTTAAAATTAGTTAATACTAATAAATATTTTTTATTTATATGTTGCATGTTGCATCATTAAGATCATAGACCAGAAAGTCAAGGACATTCGTGACATAAGAGTGTCACTGTTCTTATAATACCAAAGCGATGACGTCATTTGCAATATAATAAACAATATACATTCGTATCGAATGAAAAATAGACATCATAATGACCTAAAATACTGTATGGAAATGACAAAAAATGACGAATAAATAGACTAATGAATAATGGTATAAGACAAATCTAATTAGTTATATTCCTCACTTTTAACTGAAATAGTATTATAATGCTTAAATTATTACACTTTAATTATTATTATAGCTTGTCGCCTAATTTAGTATGAGAAGGAAGTACGATGCTAGTTCAGTGACCGCGTGTTGTCGAGATAAGTTAGGCGCTTTCGTTCAACCTCACATCCCATAATAATCGCTGCAGTAGGTTTATTGTGTCGAGTTACGTCATGCGCATGCGCATGTCCCAAATGCATGCCGCAATAGCGTAGATGATAGCACAAAGTAATAAATTCCCAGGTTAAATAAGTTAAAAGGATTACCTACTATTAACTACATCTAACTATATTAAGTAAGTCATGAGTACTTGAGTGTTTAATTGGTACTGCAGAAAAAGCACAAATTTTGTTTTATTTAATGTTTTAAGGTAACAAAAAAACTTCAAACAGAATAATAATATAAGGACACAAGATTTGGAAGCCAAAGTATACGGTAAGGATAGTAAAGGACACATCTGTCGTGCACATGTTTGTAGCGCGCAAATTTTGTTAATGGTTGATTACGTGGAATCCTGACAGTGCTATGTATATCTTAGCGTACATTTTAAACCGAAATACTTATATAAATTGTATGGAATTACTCAATTCCGAGTTTCGTCTGATGAGTGTGCGTCCCGGAGGCCTAATTTAGTCCTCTTTCCCTTCCCACCCTTTTTCTTATAAGGAAAGGATGGGAAGAGGAAGTGGACTTTCCGGATGAGAGGATGCGTGGGAAGGGAAAATATTTTCTTTCTGTGCATCCTCTCCTCCGTCGATTAAAGGTAGGCAACGCATATGCAATTGCGTATGTCATGGGCAACGGTCACTTCGCTATTTCAGCGATTTTAGGTGGCCGCTCGCTCGTTTGCCACTTTATATTATAAAAAAATGGAATTACTTTTAATTTCTTGTGTCCAGTGCTCAGTAAGACATATTTTAGGCATTGGTCAACCCGATAATGATTATTAATCGATTAATATTGTTCATCTGATTGATGTAAGACCTTATGCACTATATTGCTGACATAAATAATTGATAAAATATAAAAGAATATTTTCGTGTTCACGCCTCATATTATGACTGCATTCAAAATTAAGGGAATTCAAGTGAATCTGTAAATTGTTTTATTTTAAACAATTGTTTTTAACGCTATTGTTTTTAAAAACAAAAGTAAGAAGACTGTACCTAACAATACAATAGTAAGGTATTGGATTACAAAAGTTTGAAAATGCCATTCGGTGTGACAACACAAGAGAAGCGTATTGAAGAATCCAAAATTTTAAATACAAAAAGTAAACAATGAAACCGCAAGCTGTCAATCTTTAAATATATCCAAATTACATTATAATTAACATAAAAATCGATCTAGGGATCAATTTTGTTTGTGTAATTCTTTGTGTCGTATAAAAAGAAGCGTAAAAATAAACAAATTGTATGTCTTCCACACTGAAATAATTTAGTCACAAAGGTGAATCAGAATCTTTTTGTTGTACACCAACATAAATAGGACGTCTATTTTAAGGAGCATAATAAGTCATTAATTCATATCAACTAAGTTAGAAAGACAATAAGCAGTCTCAAGGAAACGACAACAGACACGCTCACGATTTATTACAATATGTTGTCAGCCATAGAAAATATGCTCGGATTTGTTACATTTGCCTAATATATACTATAGTCTGACCGATAAATACATAATATAACACAATTTGAAGTGTAGTTCTTAAATCCCCCACGACATAAAATAGAACAAGAACATTAAAAAAATATTTGTGCATTATGAATGAAATCAGCATACAATAATCGAGTGATATGCAGTAATGAAGTAGCACATACCTGCGTTGCGCGCGGTGCGCTGCCCGCAGCAGGTCGCGTGCGGCACGCAGCCGCGCCTCCCAGCGCGCGCACGCCTCGCCCCCGCCCCCGACTCCGCCCCCACCCACTGACGACACCACCCATTGCTTCTCTTCGATCTACCATTACATATTAACTATATCATTCATTCTCGAAAAATGCAAAGTTAAAAATCTTTTCATATTACTGTTAGTTTAATGTATAAAATGAAAAAGTGTGTTAGGCATTTCATTCCAATAGAGACAAGAAATAGGTTCGTAGATATCGCGCTAATAAATTTCTATATATCTTGCAACTTTAAGAGATCTTCATTTATCATTGTTTTAATAGATATTGAGTACCTTATTAAGTATATCATTGAAATCTTTGACGATGGTGACAGGTCGCTTGGCCTTGTCCGTGTGTGCGGCGAGGGCGAGCCGCGCGCCCGCAAACCACACCTCCAGCTCGTTCAGCGCACTTCTCACTGCTGACTCGTTGGATGCAGATGAACTTATTTTCTACACAAAAACATTTACTAAATAACAAACAAAACACAGTTTAGTTCTATCTCTAAGTATAAATAATAACGATAATGTCTTTATCTAAACAACAATACAATTATACGTATTTTAAAATATCTCAAGTCTGCAAATGATTACCTGTAAAGCTTTAATATGTTTCTTGATGTTATCGGCAGCGTTCAATAAATCCTTAAGTTTCAGTGTTTCCGGTGGCCTGTACTCGACGTCTAGCAGACTGAACACTTCCCTCCAGTGATGCTCAGTGAACTCAGACCCTCGTAAGTACTTTAGTGATATGGTTAGATCCTAAAAGTTATACCATAGAAAACGAATCATCAATTATTAAAGACTCCACGACTGCGACTTCGTCCGCACGACTAGACTTTGTTTTATAAGTTCAGCCGTTCTGGAGATATCTTTAGACATCCATTCATCTAAGCATTCGCATTTATAAGATAGGTAAGATGGCTCAACTGTGATGTAGTCTTTAAACTTTGATAAGTAGACTAGATACTATTTAAATTGTAGACAGGAGTTTCCTACTAGGCAGTAGTTTTTTTTTTTAACAAATGCATTAAGAAGTAAATAGTAGTAATAATGACAGATTAAAAAATACTTACGTTATATCTATCTAGTGTATGTTTTAGGAACAATGTGACAGAGGTGTAAGGCTCGAGACGCGCGCACCACTTGCTGCAGAATTCATCTAATAAATGCAACTTCTTTTGAAACACCAACCATTCTTGTTCACCAATAGATTCATATTCTAAAAAAAATATCTTTATAATTGTAATAATTATTCGACGACATAAATTTAGGAATAAATACAAAGTAGTTTAAAATTAAATGTCTACAAAACGCGAGTTGGAAATTTTTAGGAAATTAATTTGTTAATTGCTTATTATTATTAAAAATTCGTAATCATACCTTCGTTATACTCTTTGAAGACGGCCCACAGATCCACAAACTCCTTCATAAGTTTCTCAGCTTCATTCCAAGTATCAGATGTTGTAACATCCATATTGAACTTTTTACATTCTTTCCTATAAACATTAACTATTTTATGAACTAAATACCGATAGCTAATGGCTAAATAGACTAATATACGTCTTTTGTAATGCATCGACGGCTCAAGGTCATCCCTTCCATCCCTCTCCGACCCACAGCTAAAATAGTAATCTGCACAGCTGTTAAACAAGATGTTCCGAGCCGCCAAGATATATGATAACTTTATATTTCTAGACTCTTACTTCTAAGAGAAGTGCGAGTACTTACATCAATTCGTCTTTCTCGGACAAATATTTTTCCCATTGCTGTTGAGCTTCGAAGACGGAGTGACAGCGACCAAGCATTTCAGTATAGTCCGCGCCCTGCGCACTCTGCAGGCGCGACCTGGCCTGCCCCCAGCGGGACACCCACGCCTCCACACTTGTGTTAAGGTTCTCCCATTCTCCTTTCAGACTTGATTTTACTATTTCCGCCTGAAATAAAACGTAAAAGGATACCTCGTAGTTTTATTAGAATGTTTAAAAGATTTTTATATTTTGGTCAATTGTGATTTTTGCAAACATTACATTTTTAATTACAGCGCCATCTTTTCACCGTTCATTGACACTAAAAATGAAAAGGAACAAAAATGGTACCTGATGCTGAAACATTTGCTGCTGCGCTAACATTTGCTCTCGGATCTTTTGCCATTCCTTCACAGTGTGGTCGACGAATTGGTCGCCACCCCATGTGCGTAACATGTGGCCTTTTCTTTTCAAATTATCCACCATTTCTTCTAACTAAAATCAAGAATGCAAATTCATAAGTTAATCACATGATAATAGTAAGAATTTTAAATAAAACTTGCTTAAAATACTAAAAACAAACAAATTTCTTACTTCAGGCAACTTTTCCTGCAACGCCTGGTGTTTGAAGCTTATCTCAGCTAGTTCTTTGGCATTCTTAGGCAGTGGTTTGTTATCCAGCATAAGCGTGGCATTAGCGACGAAGGCGTCCAGGTCAGCGCAGTCGTTCCTACAGCTGGTCTGCAAGGAGGACATCAGACACGCCCACAGGTTGCGGGTCTGCGCTTCGAACTCGCGCCGCAATGTCGCCGTGCCCACCGTTATCCATGATATCTTCTCATCCTCGCTATGAAATTTTTATGGAAATTAGTAATGTGTGATTAATTTTATGTAAAACTAGATAGATAAAATAATAGTTACATAAACCACGATATATAGGTTGAAAACATGACATATTTACAGCATTCAACCAGCAAAATCATAAATCCAAGTTTTAAAACATATTAATACAGTTTCAGCATTCACCATAAAGCCAAATTGACATTGTTAAAGTATTTAAAATGGTACCATTTTGAATTGTAATATTACAAAGATGTTACAATACGAATCAAAGCGCTTATTTTATTATAATAAGTAGTAGTTGCTTTATCTAATTAGTAAGTAGAAATAGTTGCTTTATCTTTGTAGTATTATACATTAGTAGTAGAAATATAAAGCAACACTTACAAAGTCATCTTAGCGACGGCCTGCCCGTACGCCTTGCAGGCTTTAAAGTTGGTCTCCCAGTGTTCAGGCAGCTGCAGCGTGTCCGCGCACAGTGCGTCCAGGTCGGGCACGCAGGCCAGCGCCAGCCGCCGCGTCCACATCTCGCACGTAGCCTGCAGTGCTGACAGCACACTCTCCAGCTGCTGCACCGCCTTGTTGCCCAACCAGCTGTGTCTGGAAAGTAACTTGTTACTTATTAAAACTTATTTGTTTAATGTTAAAAGCTGTAGACAATTATTCATAACAATTTGTAATTTTTTTCGGTCTCTGTTAGTTTTTTTTTTATAGTAAGTGGCAAACGAACCCATAGATATCTGCAACTGCAAATGCGTTGTCTACCTTTAACCGGCGGAAGGGACGCACACAATATCACATAGGACAAATCTCCCATTCTTATGCGTCCCCTCCTCAGTCAATTTCATTTACCTTTCCATTTCCTTATAAGAAAAGATAGGATTTAAGAGATTTGTTAAACTAAGACTTACTTATCAACGATAGATGCAAATATAGATTGCTTGTTGTGGAGGGCGGTGCTGAGGGCGAGGAAGTGCGCGGGCAGGGAGACGAGGCGGCGCAGCTGGTGGTAGTGCTGCACGCGCACCTCCTCCAGCCCCGGCTGAGACACCACCATGCGACCGCTGCAATATCACAACTATTAAATTATGAAGCTACCTTCCAAACTCCCATCCATTTCGTTGTTATTGAATCTGCTGCACCGTACGGCAAAATGAAGTTTGTGTCCGCAAATTTCTTAGTTACTTATACTCCCGATAGAGGCGTTGCAAAAATACATACGAATTTGTCGATACAAGATTCAGAACCCCTTGTTTCAGTATTATGTACCGTAAGACGAGATCGACCCTGACGTGCGGGAAGTGCGTGTGGAGGGAGAGCAGGGTTTTGATGTACTGGCACTCCAGCGCCTTGCACAGCTGCCAGTCCCAGTGCGACCGCCACTGCTCACTGTTCTTGTAGCCTTCGCTTTCCACCTACATACAGAAATATTAATAAAAAAAAAACAATTGCATACGTAAACGTAGAATAAAAAATATGAGTTTACAATTACAAGTTGTCGCCCGCACCGACACCGTCCAAGCGGAATAAAAAAAAGTTAATTAGTAGCCTAGGTGTTTGTCCAGACTTTGTTCTACATCTATGACAAATTGCAGCGAGATCCGTGCACCCGTTCTGGAGGTATTTTCAAACAAACATCCATCCATCCATCCAAACATTCGCATTTATAATATTAGTAAGATACTTGTTTTTGATCCCAATATTGTAAGCTTAAAAACGTCATAACATACCTTTTCAATGATATCTCTAATATGTTTGATGTTCTTTTTCCAATCAGCTTGCTTGAGGAGCAGCTCGGTATCCATCAGTTTTTCCACAATGTTCCTGATGGCGATGTGCTGACTCGTCAAGTATGAGTTCTGAAACATTTCACGTCATAACATTAGTATGAACATTTTTTACCAAACAAAAATATAAAATTCTGTTACCTACCTGCGTTTCCAGTTTGAGAACCATCTTCTTCAGTTTCTCTGTATAGTCGGCGAGCTGGTCTATATCGTTCCAGTAGACAGGCCTGTGATCCTGCACCAGCGCGGCCAAGTCCAGCGCCGCCTGCAGCATCATCGGTCGTGTCGACGGGATCATACGTTCGCCCAAGGTGTTGTGGAATGATGCTACCTAGAATTGACACCCTCTTGGAACATTATTTTATTATGTTTGTTTTTTTTTTAATTTTAAATAATCACTTCAGGATTTTTATATATTTTTTTGTGAACAAGAATTTTGTCTTATGTTCCCCTAGATATGTGTCGGGAGCCGCTTCCAAGGTTTTTGTTTTGTAAATAAAATAAGTAAAATCAAAACAAAATTAAGAAAAGCAGTACATCATCAGCTCACTATACGTCCCCACCGAGGGGCTTGGCGCTCACCCTAAGTTAAGGGTGCTAAGGCCGTAGAAAAGCACTCAAGACACTTATAATGAAAGAGTTAACTGCGAGGTGTACCTGCTGCAGATCGCGGGCATACTTCAAGGAGTCGGCGAGTGTATCAATGGCGTGCGCGGCGTGCGGGGCGGGCAGGCCGAGTGCGGCGAGCGCGCGCGCCTCCAGCTCCGTCCACACGAGGCGCGGATTGAAGTTCACCTCCAGCAGCCGGCTCTGTGCAGAGAACTGCACCACAGGCTTCTCTGCACTCAGCTGCAGCGACCCACTCTTCACTTGCGCCTGATGTTAAATTACGAGCAAATATACGTTTAACACATTTAATGCTATTATGATTTAACGGACAAATATTAATCTAACGACAAGGAAAAAAATAAAAAATAGATCATATTTACTAGCAACCTGCTACGGCTTCGCTTGAACCGATACACAAAATATAAAAGAAATTCAATGGTTTTATACTTTATTCGTTATTTCGTTTTTAGATGCACGTGAAAACAATAACCTGAATATCTCTGGACCATTCTTCGTGGAGCTGCGTATACAAGTTTTTGATATCTTTCAATACTTTATCAGCAAGTCGAGACACCTGCTCGCTACCTTGAAACTCTTTTAAATAGTTTTCATTGCACATCTGTATATCTTTTATCTGAAACAAGCATATAAAAAATTATTGTGTAAAAATTTTAAAAGCTTCTAATTTATGTGGTTTGTGGTCGACATTTGTCATAGTATCATTAGCAAAGTGGGATACCAGGTTACCAAGGTACCTGGTTACAGGTACAAAATACCTTAGCCTCCATCTGCTTGGCCCACTGTATCTGCTGCACGAGGGGCGACATCTCGGGAGGCTGGTACATATTGATATGTAAGTCCTCAGCCTCCAACTGATCGCGTACGCCCTGTATTAACGAAGCCAGTGACGATACGAAAATCTCCAGCTCGCCGCTCAGAGACTGCTTCACTATTGGCCTGTTTATCAGAGTCTTGTAGCGCATAAACTCGTACAGCATCTAAAACAAACACTTCTTAAATAAAAATAAAAACAATAAAACAGAGACTTAGACTCTTTTTCCACTGGAACGACTAGCTGCTATTACTAAAAGCAATGATTTTGTACTATAAAAGACGCGACCGCCACTCTCCCTTAGTGGAAAAGGAGCTTAAGATACTGCGGGGAATAACATACTGACTTGTTTGGTAGATGTGTTGTGGAGGCGTGGTCTCAGCTTCTCAGCAATTTTTGCTTCCGATGGCCGTAAGTTTGATGAGAATCTCAGCACAGCATTTTCCCACGCGGGATTTTTTCCGTTACAAATCCAAATATTTATGTCTGAAAAAGAAATTTCACACTTTGTAATATAGAAGAGACTAGAATTATCTTTTTAGCTATAAAATGAGGCAATTGACAAATTATTTACTTGTAAAAGGCTCGAATAATTCATCAGTTTTCAATTCAGATCTTTCTTTGTTAGTCAACAGCTTATTTAGCTGATTATGTATAGAACGCAGGTCATGAATCTAAAAAGAAAAGCATTAATAAATGCAACAGATAGACACAAAGACAACAATGTAACCTTACTGCTTACTAATGTCATAAATGCGAATGTTTGAATGGATGGATGGATGTTTGTTTAAAAGTATCTCCAGAACGGCTGAAAGGATCTCGATGAAATTGGGCATGGAAGTAGATATTAGTCTGGAAGAACACATAGGCTACAATTTTTTTTTAATTCCGCGCGGACATAGTCGCGGGCGACAGCTAGTAAAGCATACAAAGGAAAATTTTTACCTCATTCACACGTTTCTGAAAATTCATACAAAACTGTGGTACATAGCTTTTACCACTCCAAGCATGTAGCGCGTAGTTCGGCCAGTATGTCTCTGTGAGTGACAGACACGCACTAATCCATGTCTGCGTTACGTTAAGGCTTTCGTTGATCAATTTCAAAACTTCATCATCTTTGGTACTATTATGAACCTTCCACAGATCAACACCACTCAATATTTTTTGAGTTATACTACAAATTATATGACCTAAAAATATTCTCACACATTACATCTTACTAATATTATAAATGCGAATGTTTAGATGGATGGATGATTGTTAACGTTTGTTAACAATAACAAAATAACAAAAAAATTAAAAGTATCTCTATAAAGGTTCTTGATGAAATTTGGCACTGATATACAGCAAAGTCTTGAAGAACATATAGGCTACTTATTAAGTTTATTTTCGCGTGTACAAAGACGCGGGCGACAGTTAGTAAAAAAGAAAAAATATTATATTATAAAAGTAACAGGAAAAAAAATCACATACCAATAATGTCGAAAATGTGTATCATTCTATCTTGAGAATACGGTGATATGGTGCATCGCCAAATGTCATCCAAAATCCCACCGACGTTTTCCGCATTATCTCTTATCTCATAAACTGGACTAGCCTGCATTGACCTTAGGAAATACACCAATATGAGGAAAAAAAGTAGTTACTGTTTGCCTTGAAGAGGCATTTACAGCTTCACCGGGCTTCAGGTGGCCGGGCGCAAATGGCACTTAGTTTGAACCTCGACCTCGGAGGAAAAATATATATTTCTCCTTTAACAAGACAGGGTGGGTACACCCATTTTATTCACTACAAATGACAGTTTTTTTAGACTAAGTAGCAATAGAGAAATATTTTATTAGAAAGAAGTTTACATACTTTATTTCTTCACAAATGTCTTCAAAAAGCACACAATAGTTTGAGGCGGCCTCTCTTTCTTTCTTTAATGTCTCACGTTTATCCGCCATTGCTCTCCAATAATCAACTTCATCTTCTATTGACAAAATAACTGAAAAGTATTATTATTCTAGTATAAAAAAGTTAACCTGTTGTTTATTGTGATATAAACACCAATGATCATTGTTGTAAAATCTAGTTTAAAGCTAGCAATTTCTGGATAAATACAGGATGTTCAAGTAAACAAAACATCCATGGAAGGTATAATTCTATGCTTACTTTCTTTTAGTTCCTTTGTATTTGTACAATTAGTAGAAGTTACTATAATATGAGATTAAGAAAAATTAAGAAGAGAATGAAAGAGCAGAAATATGAGTAAATATGTAAAGTTCAGCGTTTACCATTAATATTTGCATTATTTTTGCCATGGGTCAATATTCTTAAATTAGTTTCCAAATCTGTAAGGTTCTTTTGTAATTTGTTCGTATACAAATCATCACCCTGAAATTACAATAAAAAAAAAAACTTTAAAAGTTATATTGATTTTAACTTCTCTAAAAACCCTCTAAAAAAAGACAGGGATATAAATAAAATAAATTTATTAATTGAAATCTTAAGATCAAGCAATAATTCAAACTATAAAAAGCGAGACGGCAAATTATAATCTTTAATTATAGTAATATGAGGAACAGAAACTACATAATAAATAATGTACAATTGAAAATTACATTTAAAACAATTATATTTTTATAGTAATTATGAAATATGGCTATTTTACTTCATTGCAATTTTCATATTTATAAAGACAGTTTAAAAAAAAACTGACATTGAATTAACAAAGTAGTGAAATTTATTTGCCAGATTTGACCATATTGTAGAGGTAAACTATGACTGTCCATTGTCTCTGTTTTGTCAAGGAGAAAAAGGGAGATAACCATAATTTTGTATAATGGTTTTGATTAGGTATTCAGGTACCTAAGATGAGGCATGTAATGTACATTTTTGTCAAAAACAATAAAGGTAAAATATGTTGAACAGTCCAAAATGTAAAGAAAATTGTGTATTAATTGAGTCTTAGACAATTACAAATTAAAAATAATGTAATATTTAATTAAAACAAATATTCTATACCTACCAGACTTAATAATGGACTAAATATTTGTCTCAAAATCTGATATAAAGATTCGGCTGCCCCTGTAGTTATTGTTATAATGTTGATATTATTTATGCTTTCTTGTTTTGACAGGTCTACTGGTGATGTCTTGTAAAAAATAATTGATTTTTGTATGTCACATTGTATCTGAAATTAATTAAAAAGAATTAAGGAACAATGCTGGAACACACATATCTAAAAATGAGAATAGAAATGATAGAAAATACATTTGGGTTGTAAGATATAATGTTCTTATTTCTTCTACTATTATTAAAGCAAGGTGTGAAACATAAAACTGGTTTCAGCAATAGGGGAGTAAACCCATTTCAAATATGGCACTTCAAATGTATTACTTTTTCATTTAATACTTACTTGAGTGGTCAGGTCCAAGATATCTTTATTCAATTTGGTTTGAAGCAAATATGTTTGAGAATTATGTATAAAATCATATAAAGCATCTTCAGCTTTATCATTTAACTTTAAATCAGGCAAATTGTAAAAAGGTTCTAGAACATAGAAAAAGGTTGAAAAGGTTCCATGAAAAAAATGAAGAACAATAGTTCTATCTTAGTCTTTTTAGTTCCAATACGCATACCTGCAAAATACGTACTTACCAGCGGTACTTATTACAAATTCACGTATTTTCGCCATTGTTACTAGCACAAGCTACATTTTATTAATTAGTTTATGAAAATTTTCCCATTTAACCTATGAAGAAATCAATAAGTACATTAATTAGTTATTTTATGTAATTTAAGTAGTAGAGATATTGAGGGTAGTTATAAATAATTATTAAAAGACCATAAAAATCTTGCAAAATACTTTTCTTCAAGATTTTGGAGTTTGAAGTTTTGTTGACATTCTTCGTTGCCATGGAAACTGAAAACCGGTATACTCAGAGACAAGAGAAACAACTTGTTTGTCGTCTGATTTCATTTTAAGACAAATAAATACTTCTTTTTTAAGTTTTCGCTGTAAGGCAAATCTTGTCATCTAGATGACTTTCTGGGGGCTATTATAGGGGCTTCACTTTTTAAATCAAATTTTAGAGGATTTTTCAAAACCTAGTATCATAGGCCATAAACTATAAAAAAAACATTGTCCGAAAACTGACATATTGAGTTTTGACAGATAGCAACATGATGTCAATGTCAGTTGTCTGTTTTACAAAAATATCCTAAGTAAAAAAAATTGGAATTTATTGATTTTAAAACGACTATTACTTACTATTTAAAAAAAATCATTTAATAAAACGCTTAAAAATGTTACGACTTCGATCTGTAAGTGTCAATCTTTGCTTACAAAAAAAACAATAGATATTTTAATACTTTAAACACCTTTACTTTTTTAGACCTTTAGAATGCTGCAGCAAGTTAATCACGTAGCTAAATTTAGTGACACTACCAAGAGTGTGGATACAACGTATATGGAAATTCCAGTATACAACGTAGATAAACCGCAACCACTTGAAAGTCGTAAAGCTAGGTAAGATGTCAAGAGGACTGTATGTGGAAACAATCCTAAATTCCCAACCTTGCATTGTCACTTCATGTATTAGTTTAATTGTTAGTCCGTAAACACATCAATTTATTACCTTACATGACTTTCGAAACTGACATAAAGTTGACACATTGTATAAGCAAAGTAGTAAATGAATACCTGGCTTGTTTGGTCTATATCCCATTTAATGTTACAAGTATTAGTACAATATACTAAGAAAGAGTGTAATTTACGTTAGAAGCTGGCAAGGAACCTTCACATTTCCCATTGTTGTTCAGAATTCGGAAAGGATAAAAAATTCACGTACTAAGTAGCCTATGCCTCCAGATTATGTCTGTTAGGCTGATCCGGAGATACATAATATCATTACTGAGAATTAATAAGAAATATGTTTACCACAAAAAAAAAACTTTTTGAGTTAAGTTAATTTGGTATATTCAAATTAGACCAAGAAACTCAAACTCCTAAAGAACAAACAAACAAACCTAACAAAATAAAGATTTATATTAAACTATGTACTATGTAAAAAGTTTGTTAATGATGTAAGTTTTTATTTGATTGCAGAAAATATGTGCAATGTTAAAATTAATTGAGGAAGTTAGTTAACTTATCAATCTAATGTTTTTCTAATATTTAACATCTTCACTTGTTTTATCATAATTCAAACATTTGTGACAAGGAAGTCATGTACTGTATACCTCATGGTATCAATTATATATTATGTTATCTATGTAGGAAGGTCTAATGTTCTAATTTGAAATGGTTTTTATTTCAATATTAACTATGAGCTTACATTTTCATTATAAATACCATACTGCCTTATGATGATTTACTTATGGTGTTAAGTAGATTTTTTTTTAAATCCTAAATTCTAATCTTTACTGATAATTTTAAATAATATGTTACATTTCATTATATGGGTTTAAGAAAAAACAGAATTCTTTGATATTTGCAGTATAACAAATTTTACTATTAAACAGCTCATAAATATTATTAATCATTATTTCACAGATTGCATTATCAATCTCGTAAAAGAGGAATGTTGGAGAATGATTTACTGCTAAGTACTTTTGCCAAAAAGTACTTGGATAACTTCACAGAGGAGCAGACAATGATGTATGACCGTCTCATCAATTCTCCAAGCAATGATTGGGATTTGTTCTACTGGATAGTTGAAAAACAGCCTACTCCTAAAGAATTTGACAATGAAATAATGGATTTACTAAAGAAACACGCCAAAAATGAAAATAAAGTTGTATTATCTCAACCACCTTTAAATTAAATGACTTAAAAATAAATGATTTGGTGCATTATGCACATTTGACTTTTAGACAGACTATGACTTAGAGAATTACATTTTGAAATAAACCTAGAAATTTATTACAAAGAAATGCTTAATTTAATTAGTATTAGGATTTTGTTGTAAATTTTAATATAATATAAATATAGCAATGTATATCAAATTTGTAGTTTTTCTTTAATTTTTTTCTTTATAAGAGTCACCCACAAGTACTTTTCTAAGCTAAAATCATATGAATTCTGCAAAAACATTTCATAATAGCTGTGAATGAATTGCCACATGCCTGCTTAGTATTGATATTATTGACTTTAAATAATTAGTAATGTAAATTGTCCTGTGCGTAAAAGAGCACCGATTCGCCGGTGTTAATATATTCATTAAAATGTTTGAACACAACCAGACTTTTCACTCGACCCCGGCCCGGCCCGGCGCGGCCAGGATAGGACCACGCAGGCCGCAGTTGGCCTCCGCGTCTCGGACTGTTTGCTTACTTCTACTGCGCACATTGTCCCATAAAATAAATAACCTAGTGCGTAATCTTTATTTTGATAAAGTTTTCGCGTTATCAAATGATGCTTATAATTTGTGTTGATTATGAATGACTACGTCATAGGTCAGCCCACGGTCTTCTTATCGTTTGCTCTTTATATATGTTTGTGCTGAAGATATAGCGAAGTCAGTTAACTCGCAGCGAGCAACGCTCATACTTATTTAAATTGTGAAAGTATATATTACAATAAATTAAACAATATTCGAACTTTTATTCTTATTCGGAATCGAATAATTCGAGAGTGATACATTCAGTGATTATTTTAAAAGTGTTAATAAAGATAGTGTTTTAAAAATGCCAGTTCGCCGCAGTAAGGTAAAAAATCTTAATTTTACATTCCTTTACATCCTTTTTGTATAGCGGTTAAGAATTTTTTTTTATCAATATTGTTTACAAACTCTTTATTTCATCAATATCTATATTATTTGTGGTTTGATTTATTTACATTAAAAGGCTATTGTCTCTTCCGATATTTATAAAAAATAGAAAACTTTATAAAAGCGCACAGTTATTTAAAACATGTGCAAACACAACTCTGCAAGCAAAAGCTTTGAGTCAGATACGAAGGGTTTGAATTTCACAATACTTGTTATTTACCTACCATTTGATAGACAAAAAATGTCAAGACTCGCCCAAACATATTATCAACAAAGACATATCGAGAAAACTAACATATCGAAACACGTAAATAGCGTACAGTTAGTTAAGTTACCGTAGGTTCCTGAGACCAAAATCTCTGTTTAAAAAATATTGTTATCTCTGTTTTGTCAAAGATAATAAGAGGCATGACGATACGCTTTATACAGAGATTTTCGTCTCAGAAACCAATGGTTAGTGTACTAAATGAAAAGCGCGTTAAACAACGATCATACTGTATACCATTATCAGCGGATAACTCGTTTAACCTTTGCCTTCTTATCATATCTTATTTTAAAAAACATTCATTTTATGTTTAAAAAAATGGTAAAAGTTAAAAATCTTCGGAATTTTTTACATATATAACTTTTTTAATTGTATTGATACAGTCGTTTTTTTAAGAATCGTGTATTATTTGTTGTTGTATAAAGTTTATCATATTTGTACGGTTAAGAAGTTAATTAACTTGTTTGCTCCATCTAATTATTGGTATATAGCTGGTAAACGTTGAAGTTTGAAAAAACAATGAGACATAATAATGTACCAAACTCTTACATAAATATAAAGTAAAAAAATAATAATAATGAAAGCCTTTTTAATGTAAAGTGTAAAAAAAGTTCTGGTAGAGCATACGTAGCGTGAGCTACACAATTTTATCGAGTATAAAAATGGCAATAACGGTAACATTCACTGGTCAAGTTGATAAAACAAAATTAAACAAATATAAAATGAAGTCTACTTAGTAACATTTCTGATAAAATCGTGAATCGGAGTAATTATTAAAGTGAAATCAAGCATGAATTTAAATTATTCGTTTAATTTAAACGCCAGCCGCCAGAGTTACGTCAAGTTAAGAAATTCTATAGGAATTCTTAAAATTGAAAATCTTATTACGATTTCGGATAAAGTATTTCGCTGCGGCTGCTAACCGACTGGACACAGAGGCGCAGTTTGTAAAATACACAATCAGAACTTTATGAATATATTGACAGGTATTATTAGTGAAATGGATATTCGAGAACCAGCACAAGCTCCAGACTGTGCGCTGGTGCAGTTCGTCTCTGCGGTACAAGGAGCTGGAAGAGAGCGCGCAGACGCTCGAGCACGTGGCGGCCCCCGTGGCCGCAGCGGCGCCGGACGTTAAGCCACGCCCCTACAGGGCGCCAGAAACTTCCTTCAAGGTAGGCGAGATAAGTTCAATGAGCAAATTTAGATATTTTATGTCGACTTGTTTTCTGCCTCATTTGCAAACATTGCTAAATTTAAACTTACAATTATCGTCTAAGCACTAAAGAGTTAAATAACGAGATATTGCTTTAAAAGCCAAGTCAAAATAATTATTTTTTGTTTTATTAAAACAATTAACTATTTCTTTAAGTAACAAATATATTTCTAACTTATTTTTACGAATAAAACTATGTATATTCACTTTTGAAACATAAACGTCAGAAATGTTTTACTCTTAGTTGTGTAAGTAAAAGCATAAAAAACAAAGTTTATTAAACTAACGTTAATCTAGTAATTTTACATAAAGTACAGGTAGCGTGTGCTACATATGTAAACTAGTTTTTCCGATTATTTTGTGCCTATTCTTAAGTACGATGACATATTTTTTGTTCGTTAATTTAATTACTAATTTATCTAGACTAAAAACCTTGTAAAAATTTGTACTGACTTTATAAATATTTCAATGATCAGTATACATATAATAATATATTATTAAAACATTCTAAGAGGTTGGTAACTCCGAGGTAAAAATGAAAAGATACATAGACTTTATTTTTGCAGCACGATGATTTACAAGTGACTCTGGCGGCGCCGTACCAGCTGCAGCGTAAGCCGGACGCGCCCGATCTGGGCTTTGGGAAATATTTTACAGATCACATGCTTAAAATTCAATACCAAAAACAGTTAGGTGGATGGCAGAAACCTGAAATAACGCCTTTTGAACCATTGAGCATCCACCCAGCCGCGAAAGCGTTGCACTACGCAATACAGGTATGTCTTTGAACAAGTTCTATTTTAACGAAAACTTGTTTCCCCATACCTGTACAGATAAACGATGTATACATCAATTTATTTGTGCAATATGTACGGCTTTTTGTTATTCTCTTTTTTATAGTATTAGGAAAAAGCAATTACATGACTGCGTTTTTTATGATTATATTAATTTTATACTCCTTTTCAGCTATTCGAAGGTTTAAAGGCGTACAGAGGTGTCGATGATAAAATCCGATTGTTCAGGCCGGATTTAAATATGCGACGGATGAACCTCGCGGCGGAGAGGTCCGGCCTACCAATGTTCGACGGCGACGAGCTAATAAAATGTATTAAACGGCTAATTCAAATCGACCAGGAATGGGTTCCACATTCTGAAACATCCACTCTATATATAAGGCCCACATTAATAGGAACAGAGGTGAGTTTTTCGCGTTAATATTAAATTAAAAATATGATAAGAAACTAAAAATTTCTGACAAATTATCCATATAAACTTATCTATTTTACGTCTCAATTGCGTTGCCAAAAGCTCTAAAACTATGTTTTAACTTCTGTAAGAACAGACAACAGAATGACTATTTTGTCGATACAAATTTTAAACCAACAATTTCGTAAAAAAGTTTTAAAAGACCTAAGTGAAAATAACAATATAAGAAAAACAAATTTTGTTTACATTATGCATGAAAACGTGGTTGAAAAATCGAGATTTAAGATTATAATAATGACGTTATATCAAAAAAGGTATTTATCATAAATAATAAGTCGGTAATTTTCGGGTACATTCAATGATATCAGTAAACACCAAAGGAACACCAAAGTATTAACTGATAATAATAAATAAATATAATTATCACACGTTTTGTTGTAAGATTTCTTTCGAGATTAGTTTTATCATTTTGACATGCCCAGCAACGATACAGCGATATGCCACTTTCACATTGTCATGGCGAAACGCGAACTGAAAATACTACAAGATCCTGACCCCGACATACCGACGTCATTTTAGCAAAGATGAGAATTCGGTATAGTAGAATTCCGTTGGAATTAGAAATAATAACAGACCTATTTTAATACTTAACATTTATAAGGCTGTTATTACTATATTTCTATCGTCAGTTTATAATCCCACAAAGATCTAACGGCAGTTTTTTGACATTTACCGTGGGTTTCAGAGGCCAAGATCCTCGTGTAGCACATATTATTATCTATGTTTTATTAAAAAAATTACGATATGTTTTACATTAATTTTGGTCTGAGAAACCAACGGTAAAGGTAGGACAGTCTAAAAGTTTTAAGGGTTATCAGCGAGTAATAGTACCAAATATTCCTTTATTTTTAATTCAAATATTCGCATTTATTTTATTTTAATATATTTTACGAATTACATTGTCAACCAGTGATGTGTGAATATTCAATTGCATTGAATTCGAACCAATAATATAATAGCTATAGCAGTGATAGCATACGAAGTTACAATAGCTTTTACACTCTCCCAATCTCTTTTCCAGTATTAGACTATAAATATATTCGTATTTAGTAATATTTCGTATATAAATCAATATTGTTGACACAAAGCCGTAAGAGATGACACCAAGAAAACAGATAACGTGTTCAAGATCAATCACTTACGTAATGTTTATGTATTACAAATTGCCACATTAAGTAAACATATAGAATAATATTTTCATACTGAATTAAGATTAAGCCAAAGTCACAAGAATACATACGATGAAACACGTGCACGTTTTTAAATAGCCTTTGCCCGCGACTTCATGTTCCACTGAGCTGGTAATAAGTAAAATAAAATTATGTATATTGAAATGTGTGAAAAATATTTAATTCAAATATTTTAAATTTACACACAATGAATGTTTAAAAGTACACATTAAATTTTCCTACCTTAATTAAGACAATACCATTATTTACCAGAACAGCATAATTTACCTGTGAAAATCGTTAATTG